TACAAAATGGTGGTGTTCGTGGTAATCCATTCAAAATTTTAAAAATTTTTCATGAATGTAATAATTCGGTAGAATTAACAGCAGAAAAATGTCGTCAACACAAAGAACAACGGAAAAAAGCTCATAAAATAACTCGTGAGAAAAAGAGTTTGAAGAGAAGTTTTTCCATGCAGAAGAAACACGCACATAGCCATCGTGGGATTGTAACTGAGTTTAAAAGTCTAACGATTCTTCCAGCATATGTCCTTATATATAATAACCACAGGTTTGTTTGTATGCAAAGAACATGCAAAAAAAATTAGAAACAAAAGTGCAATGACATCCATTAAGAATAAATGATCAGGAAAATTCAGAACTATTGAGAGAACATTCATGTGTGAAACTCTGAAAGATTTTTGCTGCGCATACAATAGATCAATTTAACCGTTATCGCTCATCTTTTCATCTGATATAGATTTATACTCTAATGCTCCAAAATTATATCCATATAGTCTAGTTTTTCATTTATTCATAAAAACCAGTGAATCTTGTGAGAGCTATTAAGCCACGATGATACTTCTGATAGTTGTCTGTTATCGAGAGTTTGTAGTCTTTCCATTCACGTGTCTAGAAAGTAGGGGACTATAAAAAGTTTAACGCATTCTCATTCTAATTATAAAAGAAAATCTTTTTCAATTTTGTATGGCTATAAATATCATTTATTATCAATATAATAGATTATGTTATTTTTTTAATACTAGATAAATTTTCATTTATAGCTGCTGTATAAAAATAAATCATGCTTTAAAAAATTTTAGTTTTCTAATAAAATTGTTAGATGTGCACATGTATAAGCTAATCATTTATCCATTTTGACTATACGTTTTACCAATTGATCGAAGTCATAATGCTTTTTACCTTTTCTATTTTGACTTTTTGATCGATCACCAACGTCCTGTTTCTCCGTTAACTTTGCTTCTACTCCATCTAAATCTTCTTTAATCAGATCGGGAGCTAATACCATTACACAGTGCGCAAACCAATGGTAAGGTTTCACCAGTATACAACCTACCGTTATCAGCTAAAACAAAAATAATATTTTTAAATAAAAAAAAATGGACATATGACAGTGTTCAAATTCACCTGTGCAGCAAGATATCTGTCACTTGTTACCACTACTGTGTGTTCATTTATCTCTTTATCCCGTTTTTTCATTATATCAATTAACATGTCATCGGTTGTTTGGAATGTTGGATGAGCACTTTGAACATGAACAGTACCAACAGAAGCTAGTTGTCTTGTTGAATCATAGATGAGATTTAAATTAGCAATATTCATTTGTTCATTCCATGCTGACGCTATTTCAGCAATCGCTTTCTCTGTTTTCTTTCCTTGACGATTCAAGCATAAACGACGTAATGAATCAACAACGAACATCATATTGTTCCCATCAAGATAAACATTTGTTACATGCGTAGGCCAATCGTTCTTTTCCGCTACTGTATGATAACTATTTTGAGTATCATTGATTAATTCATGTTTCTAAACAGATATATTTATCAATTTTTTTCGACAAGTTTACACACAAAACTAAAATTGTACACTACTTTCTCTCGTTCTTCTTGAGCTTTTTTCCGTTGTTCTTTGTGTTGACGACATTTTTCTGCTGTTAATTCTACCGAATTATTACATTCATGAAAAATTTTTAAAATTTTGAATGGATTACCACGAACACCACCATTTTGTAATTTTTCTAAATCAGCAAGATCATTGGCACTCAACGCTTCTTGACTAGCAGCATGTGGTTTTTTTTCAGTTGGGCTTTCTTTTTTCTCCTCGTTTTTGTTTTGTTCTTCTAACAAAAACTTTTTGACCATTGCAACTTCGCCATTTGCTTCTTTCAACAGATGAACAATAACACGTTTATTCTTAAGTTTGACACCTTCATTTTTTAATTGTTTCAGTTGTTCACTATATTGCTCTTCGGATATTTTAGTATTTTTCTTCTTTTCCAGTTGATGTTGTTTGATTTCTCGAACCTAATTCACGTTCAGAAAACTAGATGAAGGCCTACTATCTTCAAAAGAATAAATAAATACCTGTTTACTTACCTTTGTAACATCACCGTCATATTTTTCTAATAGCTTATAAATACATGGACATTTTATATTGAAACCATTACTCTCTAATTCGGCCAATTGTTTACCATATTTTTCACGTAATTGATCTTTATTTTCATTTGTTGTTTTCAATTTTTCCAAACATTTACGTACAATTTCAACATCGCCGTCAAAACGTGACATTAAGCGTAAGATAAAATGTTTTTTCGGCATGTCTGATGTGGTATGTTGTTGCAATACAGCTAACTGTTCAGCATATTTCGTTTCAGTTTCTTCAAATTTTGCCTTACGAATACTATGACGTTTCAAAATTTCACGTACCTGTTAAAAATGAGTGCATTCTTAGTTTTGTGCGACGGGGAGAAAATTTGTTGATGTCTTAAAGTAGTATATTATAATAAATTTTAAGTAATTTGTTAAAATTTCCTTTTCCCTGTTATGTGGTTGGGTTTATTTTTACCTGATCGACATCTCCATTTTGTTTGCGAAGTAACTGCAATAGCTTTGCAGATGATTCAGTTGGAAATTCTTGTCCAACCATTTTTAACTGTTCATCATGCGATTGACATAAATCACTACACTTCATCCGATGTTTTGCCTTTTTCTCCCCCATTTCCTGTTCAACCCAATACATCAATGCGTTAAAAACTGTCACATCTCTGGAGACTTTTATCTGAGAAAGAAGGAAACTGTACCTTGTCCTGATCAAATTTTTCGTCAAGCGTTAGACTCATAATTTATTTTGATAATCCAAGCACTCAACTTCTGTTATACGGAGCTTTCTGTACCGTTTTCAGTGACTGTTAACTTCGTTCACTCTCGTTAGTTGAATGAAACTATTTACTATTTGTTGTAATATAAAGCCGTAAAGGTATTGCACAATAATATCGAAAATCTTATAGAACAAGTAAAGAGCGGGTTCGTCGCGCACCTTTCGATACGTGACAGATTGTTTGTCATTATAGTAATATTGATTTTGAATTAATCATATTCATTTATAATTAATATGGTATGATCATTATTAATACTGGGTATATAGTCAACGTTGATCAAATCGGGTCACGATAAACCTAATTCAATCGTATATTTGCAAATTAGGCATGCACCGATTATAATCGATTGAAATTGTGCACTTTTCTCGCAAAAAATTTTTCTCAATGAAAATTCATTTTCTAAAAATTCTCTAACAACTGGATTCTGTAGAGCAAATATTTTGAACTATGGTAGTGTTCTTCGTCTTGATCAAGTACTTAAGTAAAAAAAGATTTCTTAAAAGTTCCATGATCGGTTATAATCGATCGAAAAGCGATTACGGTAGAAATAGAAAATATGAAGCCTTTCACCATAGCTCATCTTGTAGAAAAATGTTTGCTCTACAAAACCCAGTTCTTAGAAAAAATATGCGTACTTTTCATGCAATCTGTTTCAGGAAAAGGGTGAAATTTATTGGTTATAACCGATGCATGCCTAGTGGCAATGCAATGTTTAAATCATACAGTACTGGTTTCAACACTGGTTGCTAAATCACGAGCAAGACAGGAAGCGTGGATACAAACTTACGATTTTAACTCAAAATGGCCTGTCTCTAGTGCAAAAATAATCTAATTAAAGATACTTCGCTGATTCCAAGCATCACAAATAAATTATATTTGGACATTTATGAAGTATCAGAAAACTACTGAAACCATTTATCTGTCATTTAATCATTCATAATTTTATGATGCAAAACCACTTTTTGTGGGAGTTCATCTTCTACATGAACCAAATGTCTAAAAATTATCAGGATGAACACTCTTGAATCATTAAATTTATTTTGATGGAGTTCTGTTATATTGAACATACACAGAGACTCGGCTGTTCGATTCAAATAGAATCTGTTTTTAACGATTAAAAGTTTTACTTAGTCGATTCATTTTTCATGCTAGATTCCTCTAGAGAGGAAATCAAAACATCAAAAGGAACAAAAGAAAAACAGAGTAATTTTAACAAAAAAATTCTCCTATATGTTCTTCCATTCTTTTAAACATTTGTGAAGAACTAGAAAGTTGATATAAAAAAAACATCAAAAATATGATAATAAAGTTAATGCATTCTATATTCTGCTCTAAATTGAATGTTTGATAAATGTTGACCTACACCTCTTAGTTCAATATCAAAATCTAAATCTCTTTGATTATTTGGATTCGGTCTTAATTTGAACATACCATTTAATTTATCACCTTTATTTAATTGCACATCATCTTGATCCAAATAGAAGATAGTCGATTTCTAAAACAATCACATTCCAGAGATACCGATGATATTAGTACCACTAGTAATTAAATACTCACCCAATGAGTGTACGATGAATCAGGTCCTGTCGAAAATCCTGTGTATTTATGACATTTACTAAATTCTACGCTGAAATAAGCTACTAATGCATGTATAGAATCTGAACGTCTTGCTTCTAATTGAAAACGTGTTTCAAAGGATAAATCTTGAACAGTAACAGTATGCAAATTAAATTCTTTTAATAAACAATGAGATGTTACAACTTGACGATTATCAACACAATCAACTAATGGTTCTTTGATAGCCACTTCACGTATAGCACTCATATCGAATCCATACACATTATACCTAAAATGAAACAAAGATATAATCTTTAAATCATACGTTAGATCTAAATTGACTAATAATAAATCTATCTTGTAAATATAACTAGAATAATTGGAATAAAACTTTTATGCTAAAGTTGTTTATGACTCTGAAATAGGAGTGGATATGATTTAATTATCTTACCACCAATTAATTTTTTCATCTCTATATGAACGATCTTCTATGGCACAAAGATATAGACTACATTTGTCTGGAAATATGAGACCACTCTGTTTGTTTAACCATTTGTCTCTTGCGTACAAAATAGAATTTAACATTGATTCATACAACAGACAATAACCCATCCCTAAAAAATTCAAATATAATGTAAATTAGTGTAAACAAAAACCAAATAGAAAACGTTGATTGTAACATTTTATGAAAAAGGGTATTATTTGATTTCTATACTCACACTCGGATACAATGATATCTACTTCCGTTATTCCATTTGGTAATTCAACTTCTTCGATTTTTCCGCGAATTAATGTTATTTTATCCGATAGATCATTATCTTTAACTATCTGTTCGGCATATTCAATTATATTCGACATATCGATAGCAATAACACATTTTGCACCGGCTTTGACGGCAAACATCGAGAGAATTCCTGTAAAATAACGATATTAAACTTCATTTATTTTATAATGTCTATGAAATATGTACCCGTCCCACAGCCTAAATCTAGCACAACTTTATCTTTAAATAAATGTCGATTATAAATCATTGAATTACGATAGGTCAATGTTCTGACCTCATCTTTTAACATTTCTTCATGAATGCCAAAATGTGCATAAGAATCGAAGTAATAATCTTTTGAAGTACGATCTTCAGGATATTCTACAGGTGACTGAGCAGTCGTTGTCAAAGTAGTATTGTTTGTTGTTGCTGTAGCAGATAATTGTTCTAATTCACTGGGAACATGACTATTATTTGTTGTGGCATGTGAAACACTCGCTAATGCCGATTGAAATGCCTTTGATGTTGTTATAGGCGCATCAGATGGTGGAATAACATTACTGGTATCATTAAACGTATCAGGTGATATTAATGACATGATGATGTTATCTAAAAATGAACATATGAACAAAAGCACAACGAGAATCAAAAAGAAATATGGATACATATGACAGATCTCGAAACCATCTCGTAATCTGTGATAGCTAAACTACAACTAAGTAATGTATTAATCTGGTATTAATTTAGAGAAACTGATTGGCATACACAAGAGATCAACGGACGAGTAAATATTAGTATATTAGTAAAAAGTATTTGTAGTGTGAAAACATAGATATTAGCAAATGAGTGTGTGACACGATATGATGTACTTCTTGGTCAATAACCCAAGAAAGATTTCAATTCTCATACAAAGGAACTTAAAGTCCTTTCAGATCAAAAATTTTCCATTGGTCCATTTCTTTTGTTACTCGATATTTTCTATACAAAAAAAGTGTTGAAAAAAATATTTAGATTGTTTAAGAAAACAGTAGATATGAGAGAAAAAAATAAATTGTTCATGACAATAAATTGAAAAAAGATAGCAGATAATGTATTTCTTTTCGTTAATTTATCACCCTCTTTTCGTCGTGTCTGTGTAATCAGATTTTTGTTTCAATAGAGAAAAAACGTTTATTCAGATAAAAGGAATTACAAACAACACAAATCCACGCACAAACAAATAGAAAAATTAAGAAAGCATACAAAGAACAGAAGGCAAGAAAAAAGATTCTGTACTTCAAACATATACAAGAACGATAAAAAAAAGATCGAAATTGTTTAACGATATAAATTGCGTTGATTTGTTTGCCATGCATCATTGTCTGTACTGGCATATTTATGTCTAGCATAAGCAAGCGAGGCAGGATCCGTAGACCAGTCATAACCTTTTTGTGCTTGTTGTTGCTGTTGTGCAGCTTGAAACTGTGATAAAAATGCTTGCTGAAATATTGAAGTAGAACAACTAGTGATAAGCAACTAGTGAGATCACTGAAAAAATCCTACCATCAAAGCGGGATTGATCATATTCATTAACATATCATTATTTGCTCCTTGAGCAGTTGGTGAATGATGGTGATGTGCATGATATTGATGAGGAACAACAGGTGTATGAGGTTGAGTATGAACTAAAGATGAGCGTTGAAGTGAATGATGATCTATAAAAAAAGAACAATAGAGATAAGTTAAAATTCATTATCTACACGAAAAAAGCAGTATACATACCTTGTTTAGAACGTTTAAATTGATTTTCATTTGGTTTATTTTTCGGTTCAGCTGGCCCAACATGAACACTGCATCCTAAACAAAAATTAAACTTACAGCTTTCGGAATACTAAGAGACAGACGCAAAGCTATTTTGGCTTGCACTTGTGTACTGATAAATTTTAATATTTTTCTGATAAAAAATTGTATACCATTAATAAAATGATCACCATACAACGAAGGTACTACCGTTGAATCTTTGAATGTAACAAATGCAAAACTTCTGGATGGTTTTGGAATATACACATCGATTACTTCGCCATACGATTTAAAATAACATTGTAAATCGTCTGAACTAATTATATCAGGTAATCTGGCCACAAATATCTTACGTGCACATTCTGGCTCATGAACCGGACTCTAAAATCGAAAAATAAGCATAAATTGTAATAGCAGTAGTTGCTCTCGCCCAATAGTCATGCTGATAAAGAATCATTATCACTTCACTCAAGGATTTGTAGTACTCACTCATCAATAGACTGAAAATGAAGATATTTTACTAAATTTGCATGCAACGTACTTTAGAGTCCGGTATTTTGACATCGCAGGCGCGTCCATCAATATAATGCCTTTTATTCAAAACATTCAATTGTGATTCATAATCTTTGAAACGAATAAAACCGAAACCACGCGAATTTCCACTTCCATCACGCTTTATCTAGCGAAGAAATTTCAGCAAAAGATGAAACATATTTGTTTATTGAACAAGCTCACTTCACAAAAAACGAGTTCTCCATATTGTCTAAAACAATTTCGTACATCTTCTTCCTTGCTACGGTAATTAATACCCAATACAATCAAATCCACACATCGACGAGGATCATTATCCAGACCATCCAAACGTTGATTTTTAATTGAATTATGATTGGACACTGATGAATTCTCAGTCTCAACTTCATCACCTTTGCGTTTGACATCAGCAGAACGATCTGAATATTCTGCTAGTGGAACAAAAGCTTAAAAAGGCAAACATGTAACTTAGTTCATCAAAAATACATAAATAAATACACTTTCTATTACCTTTTGGATAAACTGTAACGTAAATAATATCTGTTTGCCACGCACTTTCTGGATGATATAATTTTTGATCCGAAACTCGAACTCTAGAAAAATGAACAAATTGTATGGTTTCATGTTTTGAGAAAACTGCGAGTGCTATTACTTTCTTCTATCTACACAAGTAATAATTCATGCATCACACCAGTGTGAAGATATTCCGAATGCTTTTTAACTGCAAGTATTATTTTCCTCGAATACATTTGAATACCAAAAATAATACCCAAGCTTAGTATTTTTACTTTTTATGTTTGCTGATAAAAAAACACTCCACATGCTTTTCATACCGAACATTCATCAACGTCGCATTCATCTTTTTTTAGTCTCATTTCTATTTTATACACAACACAAACAATCAATCATTCTACATACCCTCTCCACACATTTGTATCTATATTTCTATACTTTAAACCAATAACATTTGGAAATTGCGATTGTAATGTCGAGAGAGAAACGTAACCACCATCCGATTCAACAGGTATTTCGATCGTCTCAGCATTAACACTCTCACCGTCAGCAACTTTGATGAACATTTCGCTTTTTTAACAAGCACTTATTTCACAAAAAATTCAGAGAAAAATCAATCTATAAACAAAACAACACACTTTTCAACTCGAAACACATTCTCAACACACTCAATTAAAACTCAACGAAATGACAAAAATTCATGTGAAAGATAGATCCGTCTTGTACTACTTGCAGAAAACAAAAACCCATACGGCTTCTCTTTAAACAGACAACAGCAATGGAGACGATATATTCGTTTCGAATATATTAATGTACGTTTGAGAAAAGGTAAAACAGTCACACAAAATTAAATTGTACTGTAAATCATAGCACTGTAGCTGAGGTATCTGGTTCCAAGAGCTTCCAGTCATTTTAGACGCGCCTATCAAACAGAAAAATATCTGACTGCTCCTAGGTTGCTTCTTTACTTGAAAACGTGTATCAGACGCTTATATATTAATCCAAACTAGAAAAAGTATTACAAATGCACTTTGTCATTCAATTTTCGAGTACTCTTCACGTTGAAAGAACACCTCAATTACTAACTGTGAGCGAATGTCTGAAAGAGACTAATAAATCGTGTTCGCAACACAATATAGTTGCATAAAAAGGGAACTTTAACATTGAACGAAGGAAAAGAGCACCTTAAAAATTTCAAACAGGTTTTTCAAGAACATTAGAATTTTTTTCTATATTTCGAACAGTTTCAGCACTTTTTCCGCCGAGCATCATTTGACAGTAGGTACTTTTACTGAGTGATAACTTGTGTCGCTAAAATAGCTCTTTCCATTTTCAGGACAGGGTGTTGATGTTTAAGAGATGTCCATTTTTCATCTATTTATTCATTCATTCATTCACTCATTCATCATCATTATTTTATTATTTTAGTTATTTCAATCCAGTGGCATGAGGAAAATGATATGATGACTCATTCGATCAATACGAAACGAGTATGCAGTGATGCACTATGAGAAAAAGCTATAGAGTATTATTAGCTTTCAAACGAGATAATTAGATTTCTCGACTCATTGAAAATTTTTTTGTGACAGTTTACTTTGTTAGAAAAAGTGTATCTATTGAGATATTGGCGGGTAACTGTCAAAGCGAGATTTCCGTTCAGGTTCGTCCAATTTATAGCATAGAGACAAAAGCCCCCAAAATGACTTTTGACCTTGTTTTTCTCTGCATCTACTGAGCTTACACCACTGTTGGACATACCACACAACAGAGCAGCTCGATTAATATGAATACTGATATTAAAAACTTGTCCTACTATACTACTCGTTTTCATCCTCGATTACCTATCATAAAAGTCAAAAATATCGATTACTGTTTCCCTGTTTTCGGTGGCTTTTCACCTTATTCTTGAATGTCAGTGGAGACGAAATAGTTGTTAATTCGCAATCCATCTTATTTTTAATTAAATATACAAAATTGTTTAAAAATGGTAGTATAGTGTAGTTGTAGAGAAAAGCTGTTTATCGAACCCTATTTTCTCAAAATTGTATTGGTCTACTTGTGTTCAACGAGAATCCGCATATTCGATGCGAGAAAAGTGTCGCTGACTAGACTAGACCATAATTTAGCGGGAAACTTATAGTCACCTTCGTCGAACATAACCAATTTTGTATATATAGGTAAAAATTGCGAATTAACAACTATTTCGTTTCGACTGAAATTTAAGAATTTGCTCCTCGTTCAGAAGAGGTAAAATACTGAATGCCGTTCTCTCATTTTTAGCCATTTTGTGACAGCTCCATGTCCCTGTAAGAGTAGTAGGACAAGTTTTTAATATCAGTACTGGTACTACTCGAGCTGCTCTTTAGTGTAGTATATCCAACAGTGGGGTAAACTCTGCAGATGCAGAGAAAAACAAGATCAGAGTTGCTTGATTAGAGGGAAGGTCGAAACTTGATTTATGTGAAAAAGAAATATGGTTTTCACAGATTTTCTGGAAAGATTATGATCTTTATAATTTTACTCACATTCATTCTCTAATCTCGTAGAAAATCGAAAAATCCGTACATTTTGTGAATTTATTATCATATATAAAGAGGAGGCTTCAACTTACAAAAAGAAAAACGAATCAAACTTTTAAATCCATTTAACAGTGGTAGCCGCCAGCGGAAGGTTTTTCATGGTCCACTGCTTTGAATGAAAAATTCTTTCTGTGATAACCATTTGTAAATAGTCAATATGGGTCGATAAGGCAAACAGGCCAATTGGATTTGGCACTCTTCCGACGAGATCCCATGTGAGAGTTTCGGGTGATGTTGCATGTGCTACAATTAAAACATTAAGTTTTGGATTACCAATACTATTATGCATTTTTTCTATTTCTCGAATAACTTGTTTGGATCTTAAGTAATAAGCACTTTCGTTTTCAAACGTTGGAATCCTCTCCACGATTGGTTTATAACTAAGATCAACATTTACACCGTGCTTGTGCCATTCAATACTGTTTAAAAATGGGTTGATAGTTGGAAATTTATTCCAGTTAATACACTCTAAGAGACCGGGCTCGATGCGTATTGGTATCTGACGATCTAAACCTTTTACAATGTAATGAGCTGTTTGCATACATCTCATGGCCGGTGAAGAATAAATATAATGTGGCTGAAAATTATTCAGAGTTAATACTTTTCCCACTGCTTTTGCTTTTAACATTCCGGTTTTTGTGAGTGGACAATCGAGACCATACAGTTGCCAATTAGAGCGTTGGGGTAATTTCGGTGGTAGATTTAAGTGGAATGGATGATAGTTACCAAATGAATCAAAAGCATGCAAAAACCAGTACGGTCCGAAAACGCGATCAGCTCTTTCCCCGTGACGTATAATTAGAAACCGTAAATCAGTCTGTAATGACAAGGATGGTAGGTTTTGATCGAAATGGTGTTGTGGATACTGATACTGTTGTTGGAAAATATGAGTTTTGAGTATTTGAGGTAGTGTGTGTAGCAAGGGAAGTGGAAGACCCGGCAAAGGTATGTCAATCCCAAAAAGATCTTGTGTCAGAATTGGTTTGGTTTTTTTGCGAGTTCGATGAAGCGTAGGAGTTTTATTTTCTTTTCTATTCTTTGATTTATTATAGTGATTTCTTGAATTGAAAATGTCTTCCATTTTTTGTCCAATTGGTGGTGGCAACGGAATGTCTACAGTTTGGCGTCGTCGATGCGACACATTATACATTAACTGTGAATGTAGGCTATCAACATTCATATGTGTTTTAAAACGTTCATTGATTGAGGTATCAGACGACGATGACTGTCGTTGTAATTTTCCACCATTTTGATGATTTTGCGTTGTTGTTGCTGTGAATGGTATAGTGACTGTTTCGGTCAATTTTGGTGCATAGTGGTTTAAAGAATCAATTTCAATTACTTCGTTTTCTAATGCAAACATACTAACTTCTAAAATAAAACAGGTATGTTAGATTATTCACTGCAGTTTATGTTTTCAAAAATTAAGATACGATACACCTATAGATAGGCTGTAGAGAGATATTAGAACTTAAGCGTAAGTCTAACCTATTTGTATAATACTTTCTTCACTTGTATACCGATTTCTAGAAAAACTTAATCTTGTTAAATTTTATTTTTTCTCAAAACAGGAGGCAGGATGCTAGTGCCCTTTTTGACAAGGTTTCTAAGCTTAAATTTTAACAGACTGTTAGCGTTTAAAATTAATATTTTCAGCGGACACCCGCTGGTGAAAAAAGACGAAAGATTTCACAGATAGTTTAAAAAGTTATTTAGGATGGGGAAATGGTGATCCTTCCTTGCTCTGAGCGGAAACGCTGCTTTTCGAAGAGAATAACGCTTTAAAATGTGCATAGACTACCTGCTTATCACAGAAACCAAAAAGGCAACCTGAATGAAAGTTATGAGTTAAAAACAGTCATGTCAATGTTTTAATTTACTAAATAACACATTTTAGTAGATTATTTATACACTAAATTGACTGTGATAAACAAGAAACAAACAAACTATACATACTTCCTTGCTTTATATAGGTAAAACACAGAATTTGTGGGTCTTCCTATCACCTCGTCTTATTCATTTAATGCAATTTATGCTTTCACATTTATTATTATGATATATACCGTGATTATGTTGTACATCAATTTAATATATATACTTACAGCAACAAAAAATGAGCTAAATCAACAGGTAATACAAAGGTCGTCGGCTTTTGAAGAGGATAAATATCTTTATCTTTATATCATCGGAGAAAGGCCTCTCTTCCACGGTCCACATTCATAAGAGACAAAAGTAAATCAAAGTGAGATTAAAGGGATACACGCGTAGAAAATAATGAGAGAAAATCTCTTACTTCTTTTCATGAGTATGTGCTCTAAGGAAGGAAGAGAGTATATATCGCCTTGCGACTATCATTACCAATATAGAGAGCTAACAAACATCTGATAGATTTTTAGAGTCTAGTGACTCGATGCCTTTCCTGTAGCGGACTATTCAGTAATGGTTTTTACTAATCATTTGTCATAGCTCTGAAACTACTCTGACGCAAAGCACTCTGAGAGTACGATTCAGTATGAGAAAGAAGGCAACATCTATCCTCTAATCGATCATATCGACTATAGATCGATCAATTAGCTGTAATGCGAGATCAGTAATTGATACTTACAAGGGAACGTTGGGAGATAGGCAGACCCTTTCATGACAGATTTTTATAGGTGATTTACCATGGAGATTACGGTTTTGATATTTGTTCTAGCTATTGATTCTTTTTCGAACTTCCTGTAAACTGGGTTTTCTTAAAATTTAACTTTCAAAGTAAACACTTTCGAGAGCTTCCATTTGTAGAATTATAAGAATTTTTATATACAAATTAAGTACAAGCTGAAAATTTGAGGTTATTTTAATTAATAAAACTTACATAACTGTGTAAAAACTTGTAAGCTTTAATAGTTTTTGCATGCATATAAGTTAGTATTCTACAAATGAGAGCTCTCGAAAATATTTAGTTTGAAATTTAAATTTTTAGAAACCCAGTTTAAAAGAAGATACAAAAAAGCCTAATGATTAGAACGAAATGTTCATCCTGAATCACCTTATAAAAAATTTGTGTTTCACGAAGAAAATTGTGTTTGTCATCTGCAAATGTTCTCTCATCCGTCATAATTTCGCACAGCATTTGGAATGACTTTTTCTTTAGACAAATACCGTCCGTATCGCCATATGCTTGAGATCAGTTATCCAATCAACTAAGTAGTACAAATGTAATGCCTCAACATAAATTTGTTTATGTAAAGAGACGTTGTCTAAACATTAGACAGCGCTATATGAGAAAAGTCGACATAGTAGAGGATTGCATCAAGTCTCATGCAGTGCTGCTAAAAAAGTGAACAAAATATAAATTAATGTGTAGCAAGCAGTTAAGTTCCAACTATGTTTACAAAAAAGTCATTTTTGTCTCTACATATTTCTAAAAAAATTAATGCAAAATACTTGCGGATACTATGTATTTGTGTTGTACTTAGTATGTAGATGAACATTCCACTGTTTTTATTAAATATTCACCGGTTTTACTGACCAAATTTTTGAATAAGCATCTCTTTCTAATATAACTGTATGCAAAAATGGCATATTTGTTAAATTATGTCCAAATCTATTTCCATCGAATTTATAACGTCCCGCTATGATAGGAAAAATTTCTGTCGAAGATGCATGCCCAACAACAAGAATATTCTTCCGCGAACGACCAGAACCGTATCGTCTTTCAATTGAACGTAAAAATAGTTCACTTCGATGATAATACTCATACTCTGTTTCATTTGGATTTAAATAGGTCGCTAAACGGTGGTATCGCCGATCTATATTGTATCCTGCTGTTGACCAATCTTTAGTAGACATGAATGGTGAAATATTTCCTAGCATTTTCAGATGTGGATTCCAAGACATAGTTTCAAACAATATCGGATCAATCTTTATAGGAACAGATGCTCGATTCATTCCAATCAATAAGTTACTAGCAGTGATGACTGTTCGAGATGATGGTGAAGAATAGCAGTAATCAGCTGCTGCTCCTAGCGTCGCTAATTGCTTACCTCTCAGCATAGCGAGTCTTTCACCTTCTCGTGTAATCGGTGGATCAAATACATATAACAATGAGTTTGGGCGTTTGGGCATATTTTTTGGTACCTGTGCATGAGCCTGAGGAGATTTATACCAATTAGGACCGAGTACTTGATCAATTCGTTCGCCATGACGCATAACAATCACGCGTAAATCATAGTTTCCAATTCTTGGATAACCACTTTTTTGCTTTTTATGGCCTATATAGAATATTGCAGGCAAAACAGGAGTTTGTAACATATTTGGTATTATTGTTGTTAACGTTTAACAAAATTGATTTCTCATTTTTGACCTGTATAAATCTTGCCAATATCCAATAAGATTGTTTAGAGAGAAAGAAAAAGAATATATATATACAAAATTGACCTTTTCACAAACATATTGTTATGTATCAAAATTGCGACATGATGAATCAACGATTATTCTCTATATAATAGTCGATCATGCGTACTAAACAATAGAAAAGCGTTTTTCGTTTTTTGTATTTTTATTTGAGCATACATAGAACAATTACACTCACCTAACGAAGAATATGTCAAAAAGGAAAGAGAAGTGGTTTACATATGTCAAATAATTACGCGATAATGTATATTTACAATTCCACACATAACAAATTGGCGATCACTTAAATATTAGAGATAGATTGAAGATCAAACGTAAATTTTAGAGTCATCCGCCGTAATTTTATTACGTCTATTTTACTGTTTTGTAAGTTTAAAAGTCAATATTTTCAGAAAACTTTCAGTTTCAGGAGTAGAAGAAACTGTTCCTCGTCCTATGTGAAAAGTTCCAAGGTCTCTCTTGCCGTTCTCTATTAAGGGTATCCCACCCCTCTTTTTGGGCGTCCCGTAGAAATACTGTCAAATACAAACTAAAAATGACTACGGCTTCATATTTCTAGAACTGATTGGAAACTCAATGCAGCATTTTTCCACTTTTGTGTCAAATTTTCAACGATTACCGTTCGCGAGTTTTCTCGGTTTTTCATTGTGTCACGTTACGACTCCCCTTAAAAATTTCATCAGATCGAGTTAAAAATTTTACTAGATGTACTCAAGATCATATCGCAGAGGTTTTTTTGGGAAATCATTTTAAGACTTTCCCTGGTTGAGTTATAGGAAAAATACTGAAAAACGTCTCAAAAACCAAGTTTTTCAATTTTAGAAACCCTATAACACAGTAGAGAAAAAACTAAAATAAAATTCCCAAAAAACACCTCTATGATATTAGAGTATCTCCAGTAAAATTTTTAACTCGATCTGATGAAATTTAAGGGGAGTCGTAACGTGACACAATGAAAAACCGAGAAAACTCGCGAACGGTAATCGTTGAAAATTTGAGATAATAGCGGAAAAATACTGCANAACATAACACCCCCCCACTAAAAACTAATACCACCCCTATCCAAATAATTTCCCCCCCCCCCAACCCCCAACAAAAAAACACCCCCAAAAAACCCGCGAACGGTAATCGTTGAAAATTTGAGATAATAGCGGAAAAATACTGCATTAAGTTCTAGAAATATGAAGCCGTAGTTATTTCTAGTTTGCATTTGACAGTATTTCTACGGGACGCCAAAAAAGAGGGGTGGGTTACCCTTAATTAACGAAAGAACAGGAGCATGTACGAATTTCTTTCCTTTTCTGATACTTTCAACTTCGATCACATCGTGCGTTTTATCTTAATTTGATCACACCTATGCAAATGCATGGAGATTTGCACAGTATCTGGCAATATTTTTGTCTGGTAAACTTGAATCAATTCTTCAAATTTTCAATTAAAACATTAACATTAAGGGGTATGACTTAAATAAAATATGTTCAGAGACGTTAGGGCAAGGTTGTTTGCGCTAGGAGCATCAGACTAAATATTTCAGAGCACACAAAATATTTCAGTGAATGTTGCTGCTGAAAAACTGGTGAAATGATCACCAAGTTTTCCAGAAATCGGTAAATTTAGAAATTTTTTGAAGTCTACAAAGAAAACAAAGATTTGAACAGAAATGTTGTCTAGAGTATGTGTTCAGTCATTAAATGACAACCACGAATATAAATGATACAAGAATCATAAGAAAAGTCAAAGAAAAAGTATTCTCTTTTTATGTAAAAATATATATGGTTTGGTTGGTGGTTAACCCCTAAGTAATTTCTTCAAGTTTACCAGACACAAAAATATTGCGAAATACTGTGCAAATCTCCATGCATTTGCATAGGTATGATCAAATTAAGATAAAACGCACGATGTGACTAAATTTGAAAGTATCAGAAAATGAAAGAAATTCGTATATGTTTCTATTCTTAGAGAACGAGCAAGGAGACCTTAGAACTTTTCACATTGATCGACAAGAAACAGTCGATTCTACTTCTAAAACTAAAAGTTTTCTGAAAACGTTGACTGTTAAACTTATAAAAGAGTAGAACAAACGTAATTAAATTAGGATGAATGATTGTAACATTCAAAAATTTCTATTTTATCTACGCATTTTTATCCGATCAATTTTTTGCTAAAATTTTTAAAAACGTCAGAAAAATTGATAGATAATTGAATTTAGTTTGTTTATGTTTCAATTTATTTCTCAATCTGATATAGGAAAAAACAAAATTTATTTTCATAATAATATCAACTCATTATTTAAGATAAAATTCTGTTCAAGGCAATGAGATATATTTATTTCAATGTTGTCGCCAACTATTATATGTGGAAAGTGACCTAGAAGTTGAGGTTACCCATCGACGGCAAAAAATCAATTTTGTTTAGTGTTTATATTTTGCCCTTAGTATATATGATACAGCGAATAACTCAGCCAAGAATAATTGTTCATCAAGTGGTATAAAATTTTTTACAAAAAAAGATAGAACTTTACTTGTAATTTGTATTTCTATAAATAAAAGCAGTTATGTATTAGTTAGCCAATTGTAATAAAAGAAATTTGACTAAATCGAATCAATAATAATATTATGAGTTAGAGAAAGAGACATATAATGTGTAAGCCAAAAGTTCTTGTACAGTTTTACTGAAAGTCGTTCAATTTCGATCAATTACTATTATGTACTTATAATAATCTTATGATACTGTCTTAAGTTCTTGGTCGAGACATATTCTTCCATTGAAATAGTATCATAATTATCCTTAAATTAGAATACATTTTCAACTATATCAGTAATTTTTATTCTAATTATCTGATAAACAATAACACATACAAAAAACAAAATAACAAGACATTTTAAAATGGTTTGAATTTTCTATTGGCTCTCATGGTCATAATTTTTTGTTTATCTAATTCAAATTTTTCTTTTAATTGTTTCATTGCATCTAATTTTTTATCGGTTAATTGAAATTTATAAAAGTTTAACAATTCTTTTTGTTTATTTTGTCTTTTTTGCTTTTCATATAATTTTTTCATCATATTATCTGTTGATGGTACACTACGCTGTCTTGTCTTTTTCATTTTTTTTGTTACCAACGTCCAACCAGAATCGTCGTCTATCTGGTTCGTTGTATCATTACCATTTGATGATTGTTTCTCTTTATCATTTTCTTCATTTAATTTTCTTTCATATTCTTCTAAGTAATTTCTTGATTCATTTTCTAATTGATTAATATCTGTTGAAAATTGTTTGATATACGACTGGATCCACTTATTTAATCCTTCATCAGTATTATCAATTTTCGTTCTTTTTACAAATTTTTTATTCTGATTAATTTTCATTTGTCAATAATATTAAATCTAAAATAATTAAAATATGAAGTATTTCATCTCTATCAAAGGGTAAAATTTTGCAACAATAGAGAGTAGATATTTTGCTGAACGAAAAACCTCTCCTATACAAATCTACTTTTTATCATGAACTTTGATTAAATTGGTTTAACCTTGATTCGTCCCTAATTCATTTCTTGATTTGTCCCTCATAAATTTTTATTCTCATTTTGTCCCTCATATGTATGCATAGGCTAAATTAAATTGATTAATCATTTGCTATTAAAAATATATACAAGATAATAAAGTTTTTTCCGTTTCCTTGTAAGCATATCTGACTCTTCAGCTTTTGTAATGTTGATACACATGTTCATCACGTAATAGCTCAATAAAATGATATATATGGGGATGTACAGAAAAGTTACTTTCAAGATGACTGTTGTAACCCTTCACATGATTGTTTGTTCTTAGTAAACCATTAATAATTGCATTATGCATATTTCATATCTCAATTCCATATACGCTAATGTCACTATCCACATAGCTTTGCACTAAATAATCATTAAATTCATTAGTAATGACATTATCTAGTGTATATAAATTCATAATGATGATGTTTGATATTTGGACTGTTCCAATTGAACCTGTGGCTACATGTTATTGCTGTTGTTCTTTCTTTTCATAATACCTATTGAACTTAGTACAATTTCTATTATTTGTAAACTTTTTTATATATTTTTAATAACAAATGATGAATCAATTTAATTTAGCCTATGCGTACATATGAGGGACGAATCGAGAGGGAACAAAACATGAAGAACATTTTAAGGAACGAAATGAAAACAAAATTTATTTAGTTACAGTCGGATTGGAAGGTCAAATTTAATTTTCGCACTATTCGTAATAGCCCATTTATATTTGAATGCAAATCTAAGCTTTTCGTCAGTTGGCTACTTTAAATTAACCGACCGGCTTTTCATCGATTTATTCCAATTTGTCGGCTCCGCTCATTTTTTTCTTACTGATTCTAATTCTGATCTAGAGATGTGCAGGGCGCCTTTACCCTACCCTACCCTACCCTGCAGAGTAGGGTAGGGCCAGGGCTCAGAAGTCACAGGGTAGGGTAGGACCAGAGCTCTAATGTCACCTGAAGTCACACGGTACAGCTTGGAGGGCTCTAACACCACCTGGAACAACAGGGTAGGGCCAGGGCTCGAAGATCACCTGAAGCAACAGGGTAGGGTAGGGCCAGGGCTCCGGTGTCACAGGGTAGGGTAGGGGGAGGGTACAACAATTTTTCACAGGGTAGGGCCAGGGCTACAGAAACAGCTCCCCTGCACATATCTATTCTGATCTTCAATACTGACAAAATGTAAAAACAAGCTTGTAAAAAACTTGCAACCGATTGCTGATCATTTTTACAAAATCACAGCTTAATACATATTATCGGCAGGCCATGAATTACAGATTGACATTCTTTCCTCTCAAAATGAAGTATGTCATTCAACCACTGCACTTTCTTTCTCCTCAAATTCAAAAATAAAATCCAAAAGAGATACGTTCTTAGGGGTTCAACATCTGAGACTCATAGTACGAAAAGTCCTAAGTCAGGTTTAACTTTAAATCGGATTCAAACTGTATTATAAAAAAAACTTAAGTCAAACGGTGAGTTATGCCATGGGAAATGCAGTCTTAGAGTTATGACCGAAAACTTAAGTCATCGAACACATTTGTCGGATAACTCAGGTATTTGATGATAGGATTCGATGAAACTTTTTAAACAGGTTTAGAAAATAAATATTTCGTTAATATTTACACAGTTACACAGTGGGCATCCAGGAGGACATTTAGCGAAAAATCGAAAGTATACTTTTCCAAAATTCAGATAGTGTCATGTATAGTTCAATTGACAGGCTGTCGAATGATGTATAAATTTTTACTCTAAGTGCAGTCATTTTCGGAAAACCGTACCATCCAAAAAATGCCGGAAAAGTAACGATCTTTGAGAAAAATAGTTTTTTCTAGTAGACTAACTGGTCTAAAGTTTAAAAACTCTACATCTTCTAAATCTACATACCCTCCTTTACAAAACTGGAAAAAAATTATCCCTCCTACGCCTGTTAAATCGGACAGAAAAATTGAACTTCCGAACTAAGTTCCCTCTTCTCCCCCGTCCAATCTGACTCAAAACCACACAAAACTGTTCGTCATCACCTCTCCTATCTATTCTCAATGCACAAAAATGCACATATTTATCTAACAAGAGATACAGATTTCGGAAAAACCTTCGGTTTTTCACATAAAATCCTTTTTTAAAGCCCAGAATTGTTTGTATAGTACAGTAACGTGATATTCGGAATCAGCGCGCAAAACTGCATCGAATGATGTATAATTAATTGGTTTTACAAATAAAATATTTTTGGACGAAAATTCAGGGTAAGGGTTCCCCTAAAGGATTTTTTATTGACAAAACAGTTCCCGGATGTAAGTCGAACTTAAACTTAGACTTAAACTAGACGTAAATCACGTCAAGTTGGTGACTTAGCTTTTTTTCTAATACGATCCCCTGTACCAAACAATAACATTAATCTTGTCGCACTTTTAACATAATGACGAAAAAAGGAAAACTAGTGAAACTATCCACATTGTAATAACTGTGAGTGAAAGATTAGGAGGATAAATATGAGCATCAGTGTCCGAAGGAGAGATACTCCATATCTGGTAATGCAGGGTAGATGACTGGATCGTTTAAAAATTTGAATAGTTTATTAGAAACGTTTAGTATCACAAAAGAAAGTATTTACTATATTGGAACAAGTACGAACAATAAACATCCTCACTGAAGAATCCACACACCTCATCATCATAATCGACAGATATTACCTTTCATCATCTTTTCCTCTTTGATACAGGCTAGATTTCAGCGGACAGGCTAGTTCATCAGCTTTTCCAACTATTCCCAGCTTACAATGCCTTTCATTCATTAGAACTAGCTTCTGTAATCGCCGAAAAGACGTTAACGTGAACAAAACCTTAATCTCACCAAGGTTTCCCAACTGTATCGATCCTTCCTCTGCCTGCTCAATAAGACGAAAAGTTCCTATTTCACTCAACCTACATACAGAGAAATATTACTTGATCAAAACTCCTACAGCGCAGGAATGAAATATTTATTTCCATACTTCATAAAAGATACATTTAACTGGCCCACAAAATAACTAAACAAAAGCACAAGAAAAATTTTTCACTATATATTTTGTAAGGCCTATCAGAATTAATAATAAGAAGAATATTTTGTGTATATGTAAAAATAGGTTAGCGCACAATTAACACACTTTTATCAACAAGAAACGTGAAAAATAGAGAGTAAGATAAGATCAATGAACAATGAG